GAAATGAGCTTTTGAAAAAAAAAATTACTTTTCTATTAGCAATTTTTAATGCAGCCTTAATGTTCAAGATCTTTCATCTTTTGATTGAAAATTTACCATTTAGTCTTTGTAAAACAAAAACTCAGAGCTTCAAGTATTTTCCTTATTGCAGAGAAGCTTTTGAAAAATGATGCATTGGTGGCATTTTCATCATGGATTCTTTAAAACTTGTTTTTAGACCCACATCCCCAGTCTGAGGCGTCAGCTTGTTGAACTCAGCACCGTGGCTCAACACAGGACAGACAACAGCGCCACTTAGTGTTAAGTGTGTTAGTTGGCAGGAGAGTTCCTGCTTTCATTTAATGCTGATACTGCCTTCATTCTTGTTAATGCAGTCTCTCGGTTTCAGTGTCGTGCAAATGTCTAAAGATATATTTATTCTTTAAATGTGTCAAGAACAAGTACTGTAAGACAATGACTGATTTTATGTTCCAGAGCCTAAAAACAAGTATGCTTTACTTGTATGTACTCGTCTGCCACTCCAATGTTTGTTTTTGTCAGAATTTTTATTTTGCTTTTGAAGCCAAAAGATTCTCGGGAGTTCAGGGTGTTTTATGTGAAAATGCCAATAAACTAAATGGAAATTTATAAACCGTTTTGTTTCTTTCCTAAGGGGAAAAAAATGGAATCTATTAGCTTTTGAAGATGGTGTCATCAAAAAGTTTGGCAAACAAAGCAATACTGCCACCAACTTTAAGTGTTAACACCGCAATCTCTTCTCATACAAATTACACTAGAAGGATATTGCCTGGTAGATTTTACTTTGCCTTTTTTAAATAGGAGCTAGTTTCGACAGGATTCATGAAACACTTCCAGTATTCTCTTGAAATTAGCAATACAATGGATCAGCTATGGAAAATTTAATGCATTATGATTGTCCATAAAATAGAACAGTTTCCAACAGCATTTTGCCAGCCACCAAAACAGAAACAAAGTCCAATGACATTATCTTTTAGTCATTCAGACATGTTTGAGTGAATTCATTCTGCCAAGCAGCCGCTTCTGCTCAGTTTAACCGGGGCGCCGGTGCAGACTGGAGGCTTCACTCCCTGTAGGCGATTAAAACAGTTACCACCACATTAAATTTTACTTTTCAGTGGGGAAAGGAAAAAACCTAGATAGTTCTCACCTTGTAGCGATCACAGACCAAACGAAACAATGAGGATGTGGCCTTTGCTTCAGTCTCTTCTGTGTACTCCTGCAACATGATGATTAAAGACATTTATAAATATAAAACCAGCCTTCAGCAAAGTCACAGAACTAGTCAAGAGTCTGGACACAGCAACAGTTTCACTAGCCATGTTTTACCCCATCAATCGTGACCCAAGGAACGTGCGTGTGAGCCGGGTTCAGAGCTCTGGTCATGACGGCGTAACCGTGCATCAACTTGTAACCCAGACGTCCGGTGGCACATGCATCAACAGTGACCCAGGATACGGAGGGAGCATACAGCTGCAGACACTTTAAAATATGAACGTTAGCATCAAGCTACCAGACACGAAACAAGAAGTTAAACACTCACTGGCTCTGCAGCATTCAGGACATTTGCAGCAGACTCCATGCAGTAGATGACCTGAAATGCCAGCGAGGTTCCAGTCAAATGGATAATGCAGGCCTGAAGGAGGGAGACAGATGAAGGAAGTCTGTGCATAAATGTTAAACCAGTTAAGTGCAGGAGTTTTTTTTTCCCCCAAACCTGAATCATGTTTCCTCTGCATTCAGGTTCTCCATGTTGGCAGCTGAAGGGACTGTTTACAGATAGAACTTCCTGAAGAAAAATTTCATTGAAACAGTCAAGATGTTTTAAACATGGCCCAAGCAGTCCATTACCCTCATCTGATTTGTACCTTGGCGTTCCCATAAGGAACCAGAGTGAGGGACATGATGTCCTGCAGCATTGTCCAGGTGGGAAACAGCTGCTTGGTGATGAAGCGTCTGCAGTCTGGACACAGGCTCTCATAGTACAGCGTGAGGGCGACACGAGGAACCGTCTGGTTTGGCTTAATGGCACCAAGCTCCATACATTGCTTCTGGACCTACAAACATGAAAACCAGGGTACAAGAGGCATTTCCTTTGACCAAGTTTGGGTTGTTTGACCCAGAGCTGCTCTGCCTGGTCACATGAAGAGCCACTGGTTCCTAATTTCTGAAGCATGACTTTCATTTGAAATTAGACCAGAGGACACTGCAAACAAACCTTCAGGGCTTTCAGAGATAAAATAAAACCCCAAACAGACATTTAAGAGGTTTTATACACAGTAAGAACATAGTATTGATAAAGTTTGCAGAAAACTTTACTTACCTCCCCACCAGGCAATTACAGAAACCTTGCATATTAATATTAAACATCTTTGTTAGTCATTTTTGGTCCTCTGAACATTTTACTTTGAAATATAGTACAGCATGAGGGTGCTTACAAATTAAATACAGCCAACGCTCTCACCTTGCATTCTATGGCGATCTCCAGAGACCGACACCACTGAGACGGAGGGTAATGGCAGGCTGGTTTGGGATGAGAAAGCTCAAAACTTTTATGTTTGGTAGAGAGCAAGAAAAGCACAGCAAGGATGCACAAAACCGTCATGATTATTAGGAGGAAAAATATCCACACAGCTCCAAGACAGACAGCCAGAGAAGACTGAGAGAGCCCCTCCTCCTGAGAGCTGCTTAAAGTCATCACCAGCATCATCAGCTGATGAACACCTGGTGTTGCAGATCCAACCCACATTTCTGAGTCTAATTATGATAATAAGATGTTTGGTAAATAAATCAGGCTTTTTAGTAAATTGTGACAATCATGATAGTAAATCTTGGCACTAACTTAAATGGTTCTCATGGTACACCAAGCAGTTTTAAAATAGGCTGCAAATTTCTCTTTAAAATTTTGGAGATGTGGTTTAAAAATTAAATAAAATAGGAATCATGATGAATTTCTGTTAGAATGATAAACATCATCCCTTCTGGATATGATGATGGAAAGAAGGATTTAAAATCAAGAAAATTATGGGGCAACCCTGACCATCCTCTTCATGAGACTGTATTAGGAAAACAATCTCTTTAGTCAGGGGCTTCTTCAATTTCTCTAGTACAGTTCTCTACCAACAACCATCTCCATCAGCAATATTTCTCTGAATGATTTCAATTAATATGAGTTACAACTACATTTAATTTCCATTTGGGTTCAATAAAGTGTTATCCCAACACCGACTCGTGGTGTATACCGCCACCTACAGTACTGGAGTATGTAGGACAGAATTTCCATCAGCGAATTAATTACACCTGTTAGCTTAGCGGTTGCTGTCCTGACCAGCTCTTTTTGGACGAAGGATGACTTCCCTTTTTGCTTCCAGTGTTTTTTATTTATTTATTTATTATCTCTTCAGCAATGAGCCAGCGTCCATATTAACCATGGCTGGTGTTTGAAGGTAATAATCTATCACACGCTTTAGCATGTTTTGCTAATATGTTAGCAAACAGGCTGTTTTACTTTCTGAGCTCGTATTTAGATATATTTCGACTTTGGAAGTCAGGAGCTTTTTTTTCAGTTTTAAACGTTGTCAACTGTCTGTTAGGAAGCTGCAGGTAGCTGAAGTGCAACTTTGGAAAAGCAGGGGCGGTTCTAGGATCAACTGAAGGTGCCCCTTCTCCACAAAAGCCTGACGAACTTCAAGGATATGCACTGCCTAGCCAAAAAAGGTAACATTAATATTTTGTTGGACTGACCTGAGCCCACATTCATTTGGCGTTGCTTTCATAGACTTCATCATGGTTATATATTTAATATTGCATGTGTATTTTACAAATGGATGACAATTTCTCTTTTTAGTCTTTAATGTCCATCTGCTTCAGCATCATTAATAAACAATATTTGGGGTTTATTGTAGTCAGCTGCTGAAGACTAGAAAGTTTTTATTAATGTCTTTAAACAAAACAACTGCTCATTTAACCATTTCAAATTTATTTGAGAACTGAAAGTGCTTACTTCAACATAATTTTCTCAGTCAGGTAAAGTCAGGTTTTACACCAACAGAATAGTTAAAATCCAGTTTTTCAGGTAGGATCTTTTTAAAGAAAAAAAAATTCTCACAAGATGTGTGGCATTGCATAATTAATACAGAAAATAAACATTTACAATAACAAGATTGCTTCCAAAAATCATTTTGATCAATTCTGTTATTCTCAAAATCAAACAAGAGACACTTTTAGTCGTCCACAAAGGAAAGGACAATAAGTCACAGAAACATCATCCTGACGGTGTTTTTAACGTGATACAGAAATTAAAAATGGGATTAAACCATATACACAGATCAGAGATCCTAGATAATGAACATTTTACAAAACTAACAACATTTTCATCAATTTGAAAGTAACACTACTAAAGGGAAAAAAAACCCAGAAATGCAAGATAAAATCTCATCATGGCATGGAAGAAAGTTTTGGATCCAAAGACAAAAAAATCATTACGATACGAAAAATGAGTCTTCCGATTAATTTTATTCTCAAAGTTAATTTCTATTTTTAATCCCACCCAAACGCTTACCGTCCAACACTTGCCTGTAATTCTGGATAAGACTTGATCTCTGACCTTTGACTAACATGACATTTCTGTTTAGCAACCAAGAAACTAAAAAATTTAATCTATTCAAATTCTTTCAAGAATCTGTAAAGGAAGTTCTGCAGATATCCCTGTCCCCCCCCCCCCCCCCCCCACCTCCCGCCCCCCCGCCACCGCGCCCCCCCCCCCCCCACCACCCCT